TTAATAATGAGGCTTTTTGAAATTTCATATATTTTCTTTCTGTATGTCCACCTGTTTTTTTTACTCTGTCTCTTTTATACTCTAAGCATTAACCCAGGTGCCTTTGGAGCTTTATGGACATGTGACCTTTGCTTACATTTATGTGTGATGAATGCTATTTTGTTAGATATTCGGGACAAAAGTTCATTGATCCCCTTAAGCTGTCCAAGAGTTATTTACATTAATCGTAACTCAAAGTTTTGATTTGTATTCTCTGTTGTTGATCACCCTCAAGTAGTCAACTGTCAAAGAAATTATCTATGCCAACATTACTTAAGGTTTTGATTATTTTTGTCTATTATCAACTGAGTAATGTGCATCAGGAGAGACTTCTGTATTTCTCTTTTCTCTCATCATGTTGCAGCCTTCATCCTGATTGAAACCAAGGAAATGTAAAAAATTGTGATGTACTTATGGTTTTGTTACAGAATAAATGTTTTTGTAAAACTTGTATTAGTATGATTGTTACCCAAAATATCTTTAATAGTGCTTTTGAAGTTGTGTACTTTTTTTATTACAGTGGATAACGAACCAGCTGAGAGCCATGACAAGGAAGTGTAAGTTTTAATTTTTTTTAAAAGAGTAAAACTTTACTTGGAGCGTTTATATTTGTACAACATAGGAATAAAACTGTCCATGGATAACAAAAACTGACATTTGCAAAACTTGGTATTCTTTCTTTCTGTTCTTTTAATCCATGACTAAGTTTTAGTTTTCTGGCCATTTATTATTGATGTTTCTTGTGAATATGACACGAAGGGCATTAAATCAAACATTTGAATAACGTTGATCTGTCATTTTTACATTTTCTCTCTATAATTTTCTACTTGGTAACGTACACTAAAAATATAATAGCATCCAAAAAAGTATGATTATTTATATGTCATGTTATCCTTATATATATGTCTTTGATGACTTCAGATGAATTTTATATGTCATGTCATCCTTATATATGTCTTTGATGACTTCAGATTAATTTAATATGTCATGTCATCCTTGTATATGTCTTTGATGACTTCAGATGAATTTTATGTCATGTCATCCTTGTATATGTCTTTGATGACTTCAGATAAATTTTATGTCATGTCATCCTTGTATATGTCTTTGATGACTTCAGATGAATTTAATATGTCATGTCATCCTTGTATATGTCTTTGATGACTTCAGATGAATTTAATATGTCATGTCATCCTTATATATGTCTTTGATGACTTCAGATGAATTTTATGTCATGTCATCCTTGTATATGTTTTTGATGACTTCAGATGAATTTTATATGTCATGTCATCCTTGTATGTGTCTTTGATGACTTCAGATAAATTTTATATGTCATGTCATCCTTGTATATGTCTTTGATGACTTCAGATGAATTTAATATGTCATGTTATCCTTGTATATGTCTTTGATGACTTCAGATGAATTTAATATGTCATGTCATCCTTGTATATGTTTTTGATGACTTCAGATGAATGTAAAAAATAACCAAGGGAAAAAATGCTTTAACATGTATGTGAAAAATGTAAAATGAAGTTAGTCATTTGAAATAAGAGAAATTGTTTCTCAAAAAACAAAAAGATAATGCAATGTAATTTGATTCGCTGTTGAGGAAGCTTCTTGTGACTTCCCCCTTTCAGCAGTAAGCAATGTCCACATGTACTGAAATGTTAACATATGTGCAGTAAAGCACCTTCATTATTTATTATGCACATTCCCTTCATCTTATTCATACGTATTGAAAGTCGTTGGCCCGTGTGTCACATTGGTCTTATGAACAAGAAAGACTGTTTACTAAATTACTTTAAGTTTTGTGTAAAGCTAAAATGTGTAGTTGTATTTCTTTTACTGACACATGTGTGAATAAAAATCCTCTCCAGTGCCATGTTTTTTTTTAATATACACAATAAAAATCAAGAGGATGCATGTTTTAATATTCATTAATTACCTGAAATTTCAAACTGGTTATTTCTAGAAGGTTTGAAGGAGTATACCTTTTCTTCATGGTGGTAAAAAACTCCAAGCTTACATGAGGTTAATATCAGACTTTTCAAGTCTAAATTAAAGGTTTTCTAGTGCATCCTATAGATGGCATGACATATATATATATGATCATGGCTGCGAAAGAGTTTGATGCTATTTCCAAATCAACACTAACAAACAGAATAATTAGAGTCAAAGAAACCTAGAACTAATACTAGATGAATAAGCTAAATGTGTACTGCTGTTAATAGCTCTCAGACTGCTTTTCT